TGATGGGCAAATTGTTTCCGAACACAATACATTTCTCATGAATTCTAAGAACTGTCACACAGCTACAGTTTGCAGACATTTAAAAGGTAGCAGGGGCACAGCTTCAGAGTTGGAGCTCTGCAGCCCGCATTCAAATCCTGGTTCCATCACTTGGTGCCTGTGTGACCTTGGACAAGTTTCCAAACCTCTGTATGCTTCAGTTTCTTCACCTGTGCCATGGGGCTAAGACAGTTGTGAAGTTTAAATGTACTTAATACACATGCTATATGTCTAACAGATATTTTCTATTAGCATGTAATTGAATATTTATTGTTGATTTTGTAGTATCTTTTCGTTTTTAATGGAAATAATACTTTAGCTTTTTTCAGGCCTCAAACATTTTTGTAGGCCCCTGAAAAGTGGCATACCCTATGCACTATGATAAACTACTCTGAACATGAAGTGTTCCAGGGCAAAGGAAGGGGTAGATGAAAATTTAAGGGGCTATAGCTCATTTCTTTCAAGACGTTTGATAGCTATCCACTCACAAGGCTTGCAAAATCAGAGTAACACAGAAAAGTGGCTCTTGCCTTGTTGCTTGATAATAAAGTCACCATTCATTGACACTATTCGCCAGACACTATGCTAAATGCTTTTCATGGATTATTTTATTTAGTAATTATAGTAACACTATCTTTATATATGAGGAAAGACTGAGAGAAGGTTAATACTAGCTCAAAGCCACACCGTTTGAGATTGCCAGGGTTGAAAAATCTAGAAAAATTATCATCCTACTAAGTCTATCAATCTATCTGGCAGAAGAAATAACAGGCTGGCTTATAGTTAAGGAAACTGAGGCCCTACAAAGTGAAGTCATTTTTCTAAGACTACAGTGAGTTTAGAACTTGGATGTTTCTCCAGGGTCTCTTTCACTTCCCATCTTGCCCAGGACACACAAAGCAGTCACATTTACTAAATACATGGAGCTTTCAGTAGCCATCTGTCCATTTATCCATGGAAAATTGATGGCATAGCTCTCTAATAAATGAACTATTCTCTATATTATTGGAGCCATTGCTAACATCCTCATATATCAAGTGTGGTGGTACTCATCTATAATCCAAGCTTGGGAGGCTGAGGCAGGATGATCGCAAGTTAGAGGCTAGCCTGGGCACTTTAGCTAGAACCTGCCTCAAAATAAAGTAAAAAAGGGTTGGAGATGTTAGCTCATTGGTAGAGTACTTCCCTAGCATGTGCAAGACCCTGAATTTAATCCCCAATAGTGTAGAAAACAGAGAAACAACACCCTCATATGACTGTGGCAATTTATTACTCTAAGGATGTCTCTTCAAGAAGTATGCTTCATCTATCAACTAGAAAGAATTATGGAACCTGGTCTGTTGTCCTGGTTGCTTGGGTGCACCGGGTTAAATTGAGAACTCAATCACAATAACTGATTTTCCTCATATTTAGATCCTGGTCTCTGCTCTCAGGCACAGCCATGACTTCTATTTTCCCACTCCAATGTTTAAAGCCTTTTCTTCATTGTAAACTGTCTGAAATTCTCTGGAGAAGAGATCCTGCTTAGAGACAACTACATGGTGGTTTCTGGAGGTCTCAGGTTTGCCACATGTACATCTGAATCAAATCAAACCTAATAGTACCTATAGCTGCCTGTCAACCAGTGGGGGAACTAGGCCAAATAAACATGTGGGGAAATAAATCTGGTGCCAATCAAAATAAAGCTCTACTCCTCACTCACCCAGGTGTTGATTTAACATCAGAGATGGATTTGAATCTCAATTCCTATCATTTATCAGCTAGGAGTCTTGAATAAGTGACTTAACTCCTTCAGTTTCAGGTTTTTAGGTTGAAAAATGGAAGAGTCAAAGAACTATTATCAACCTTATGGAGTTGTTTTAAGGGTTAAATGAGACAGTCTATATAGCATAGAAGGCACTCAACCATTGACGGATGGTGTTATTATTATTTCCATCTATTCACTTACTATATGTGTGGAGCTTACTATGTGCCAGATATTGTTCTAGTAAGAATTTGGAAATCTTAACCAATTTAATCCTTATCATTTCCTTTGAGGATGAGTACTGTGCTGTCCTCACGTTGTGGATGGAGAAAACAAGCCACAGAAAACTAAAGGCAACAACACAGATATTAAATGAATATATCAGACAAGTGGAAGAGCCAGGATTTAAACCCAGGACTCCATACTTTAAAGGTTATGCCCTTTATTACTGAATTGGCCACTTCTTATAAGGCATGTCACCAAAGCAGTGTACCTTGGAAAAATTTTGATATTGTGTCTTTGTTTACAACAGAGTTGCTCTTCTTTACCCTCTAGTCCAAAAAATAGTTTTGGCAAAGGTAAGATCCTTGGTAAAGTTTGAGATTCAGAGTGGGCATCTACAGCATGAATGTGGGGATGTTTACAGGGGATAAGAAAGCCCTTCCTGGGAGCAGCAGAGGAGCGAACTACCCCTTATGACCCTTGCTGGTCAGGGTTGCATGTACTAACTTGGGAAGGCTGAGCTCAACCTTTTTACATACTCCAGGTTGATGGAGGCACCTTGATAGAGGAGAATTCATAGAGTTGGCTTTTTTCCTTCTTCCTACCTTGATTGGCCCAGAGAGGACCATTTTACAAGAGTCCAGGGGATTTTCAGATCTTGGATCTTTGGGCCCAGTTACCCTATACTCAGGCTCCATAGCTCAGTGAACAGCAAATGAACAGGTAGAGTTGAGCACTACCCTGCTTCAAGAAAAAATGGAAATGACAAATACCGTGTACCAAGAATCCCTATATTATATTTCTTACAAAAAGTATCTGAGCACAGTTAGAATGTCAAAGATATTTAATCCTATCCCAGAAAAGCTCATTAAAGGGTTATCAGCAAGAAAGCAGAAGGAAGAATGGAAGACCCATTTGGTGAATCTTTTGAGGATGATTTAAATAAAAGTATTTTTCCTAATAACATGCCCTAATGAAGGCATCAGTTCAGCTCTTCTACTCAGTTCTGTGAAGTGGAAGCTAGAAACTGGATTCCAGGATACTGTCAATCAACTATGCAATGCCCTGTATTTACAACGATAGACAACAGAACTTGTCACATTGTGCCAGCCTTTCAGTCCCTTGTTCTTCAGTTAAGATAGGTTATTATGCTCTTGTAAGAACTCCTCAGCCAAACCTGTAATTGCAGTTCTTTCAGTAAGTGTTAAGATTCTGGCAATTAGTAAATTCTACATGAGAAGAATTATTAACTGTTTTGAATGCAGCCAACATATTTTTGGTAAACAGATTTAATGGACCAGTCACAATGCCCTATTCAGCTTTATTTTGACAACACTGTAATTTGTAGCAATCTAGATTGGCAGTAGACAAATAAGCAAGACAAACCACTTGCCATGGTTTTCCCCTCCCAAGAATAGTAGGAAAATACTCTGGTTCCCCACTGATGTGTGCACATGCATTAGTGCACACATCAGAAATGCACCTGTTTTCACGGTAGGTGCATTTTTTTTTGCATGGATAGTTCTTTTTCTTTTCCCAACATTTTTGCTTTGTTATACTGGAGTTCGAACTCAGGGTTTCCCACTTACTAGGCAGGCACTCTATCATCTGACCCAAGTCTCCAGCCAATTTCTTTTTTTTTCTCTTTGGTCCTATCTTTTGCATTTGATAGGAAGTTCATGAAATGTAGAAACCATATCTCCCATTTCTTTGTTTTCATCTAGATGTCCAACAGAGTTTTCTACATAGAGTAGAAGCTAAATAAACCTAGAACTCTTCTTTAGATAATACTTTCAGAGCATCTTTACAATCTATACATGGAAAGTAACCTCCCTTATTTATACTAAAATATTATATTCTAAACATAAAAGTTTTATCTCAATCGATTACATTGCTCACTTATTCTCCACGTAAGTTCTGATTGACTTTCAGTGGCATTCTGAATCAGATACTTTCCATTTTCCCTGAAGGCAAGTCCTCAGAGGAGCTTCTGCAATATCATGGTCAATGGCAGCGCTGTTATGAGAATGTGGCTTCTCAAGAAAACTCCAAAGATGAAGTCAGAATCCATCTAAAAATTCTATTCCAAAGATGAAGTCAGAATCCATCTAAAAATTCTATTCCAAAGATGAAGTCAGAATCCATCTAAAAATTCTATTCCAAAGATGAAGTCAGAATCCATCTCGAAATTCTGGGCTGCTGCTTTAAAAAATCCTTTATTTTGTGCTCATTCCTTAGGTCATGGACTAAAATGCAATAGGGAAGAAGAGAGGAGGGCCTTGGAGACTCCAGGCATTCTGGGGAAAAAGAGCTTTAATTCCCCCAGTCACTCTAGGAGCACAAGACCTGATGGAATCAGGTTCCATAGTGACCCATAAAAAATTAAAGCCTGGGAGTTTTTCACAACCTTCTAGCCTTCTGATTTCTAATTATATTCAGAGGATTAGATCAAATTAATTTTGGGAAACTGAAATGTTTATTCGAATTTGGAGGGCCAATAATAGTTGTCCTAAACACATGTTAAATAGATAAACGATTGGAGGAAGCTTGTCTGAGTGTCAGATATATTCCTCATCACTCTACCATTTAGAGCCACACTCCTTTGGTTTTAGTTAACTAACTGCAAGGAGATGTAGGTCAGTGTTCAACAAAGACTTTTGAGATGAGTGGGTAAGCTTTGGTTTGCTACTAATAGTTTAATAATGGACCAGCAAAAATCCTGGCAATTTATCAATTAGCTACCATGAGCCTGTACCAGTGGGATCCACCTCACCCCTGGAGTGTAGAGGACTATTGAACAAGTAGGAGCAAGAGCCTGTAATGACCAAACATAGAAAGACAGGATACTGGGTGGTAGGAGATGCAGGAAACAAGCCAGAGATAGTGGATGCTTTTTCTTACACAGTGTTTCCTTAGGTCACTCAGGATTGGCAAATGAGGAGGAATAGGTGGAGGACTGATGAAACAGAGTTTCTCTTCTAACCCTTGAGCTCACCTCACTCCAGTTGCCCACTGTCCAGTCTGATGGACACAGGATATCTCTGTTACAGGAAATGAGGGCCTTGGGCTTCAGCAGGTGCTGACAGTCTGTAGCCGGGAGAGCCTGCTCATCAGCGCCCGTGGTCTGGATGCACAACACCGTCCGCTTCTTCTCTCCATAGGGCCCGCATGTTGTAGAACATGCTTCCCACTCCCCTGCCCACCACCTGTAGGCAGACACAGACATATGAGAACATCACCCGAAGCACACAACCATTTATCCAACCACTGGAAGGAAAGCAGCAGGTGAACCCTGTTGACAGAACTGGGAGAATCCTGGAGATGCGCCAGCCCCCTGGGGGGGTGTTCTGCAGACAGAGCCAGGTGACTCATTCAGTCATAGCTCCGAAGCCTAGCAGAGGCTTGACATAGTAGATGCTAAATGAGGATGGTTTTTTGGATGAAAAAAACCATTCCCTCTCTTTTCAGTCGACAGAACTGAGGTCCTGATTTCTGCTGTGCAGCTTCAAACAAGCCTTTTCAGAGCTGAGGATAGAATCCAGGTCCAGCTCTTCAGACAACTTTTAACCCCACCTTCTCATCTGATAAATGTGTGTAACATTATTACTTTATATAATTGCTGTCAGTTAAGTGAAATACCAATTCACGTAGTATGCACGGCACACACAACTCAATCACTTGTGATACATTGGCATTTTGACTGTTGGTATTGAATAAAACAATCCAATTATCCTCTAGATCTCCTGACTCTTATCTGAGTGTTTTTATATTCCAATGTGAAGTAGGTACAAGCACACCAATTTTTATTTATTTAAGAGATTATAAACCAGGCACATTGCTTTCATTTTTGCCCTTTTATCTCCTACAGTCCATTCATATTATCATGGGTCTTTTTCATAAGAAAGCAGTAGAAAGAGAAGAACTTAAATAGGATATTTTCTTGTCAGCTGTTCCTAACAAGCAAAACAGTTGAAGCTGTTGGTTAAATTAATATTCTGGATTCTCTGAAAACAAACTAATGGCATATGCCCATGTTATGAGTTATTTACTCATGGTTCCAGGATGTGTGTCCACTGGTTACATGAAATGGCAGGGGCCTTCCTAGGAATCTTATAGTTTCTTTCTTATCCATCATTGTGCAAACTTCCCAAATACAGCAGACAGAACAAGTGTCTTCTCCCAGTGTGAATTAGGTCTACTACTGCTCCTATGGACAGCCTGCTTCATCTTTCCCTATAGTAATTAAGTGGACTCCTTCTACTTTTCATGGGGAAATAGTTTACCATGGGAAGTCCTTCTTTCCTGACTTTAGAAAAGCTTCTTGATCTTGAGATCGTATTGAATTTTGGTGATTCCAAAGAAGACAAAATTTTGTACTAATATTTTTGTTTACTAAACATTGGATTTTCTTGGGTTACAATGTCTTGATTCTCTTGCTTTTTAATTTTATTTGTTTTGTTTTTTTTATCCTCCCCTTTGCCTTCTCTTGTTCCTCTTCCATAATTCTCATACATTTAATCTCAAGTTTAAAGTTATAAAAGAAAGCTCTTGCTCAATTTCATTGTATTATTCAGTTAATAAGTAATTAAGACTGATTATTTATTCTTTGGTGTTTAATTCTGACTGTATTGCATGGATAAAGAGGTAATATTTGACAGTATGAAGTGAAACCAAACAAATGTCCACTGTATTAATCTAATTACTTTGTTCTACCTCTGACATTTCCGTCAGGCGCACCTCTGAATATATAAAACGTCATTCTGGAAAGGCCTTAATCTGAGCTGACTGAAAGCCTAATTTATCTAATTACTTGCTACAGGGCTTTCAACTGTATCGTAACAAAGTGATAAGGGACCTTGTTTTCTCTTCCTGGCACTTCCTCCACAACCCACTGGGAGTAGAAGCACATGTGCTTGTGCTGTGATCAAAACGTGCTGTCCGAAGTGTGTTGGAAGCTTAATCCCCATTGAAACAGTGTTGGGAGGTGGGGCCTCATGGAGGGTCTTTAGTCATGAGGGCGCTGCCCTCACGATGGGTTAATGCTATTATAAATGGAGTTTGTGGGACTAGGTTTGCTCTCTTTCACTCTCCTGCTGTGTGAGGATACAAGGTTTGTCCTCTCTTGCCTCCTTTTGCTTTCCACCATGTGAAGATGAAGCAAGAAGGCCCTCACCAGACCAGACACTAGTGCCTAGATCTTGGACTTGACTTTCAGCTTCTAAAATTGTGAGAAATACATTTTTGGTTGTTTATAAATTACCCAGTTTTTGGTATTCTGTTATAGCAGCACAGACCAGATTAAGATAGCTTGTCACCAGTTTAAAGTGAAAGCCTTTTTGTTTTTCCTGCCAAGGTCCTTCAGGCTCAGGTCTCAGGAGCCATTGTTCCTCTCATTTTGTTTGGTGTTTGCCATAATCCCACCCCTGCTGACAGATCAATAACAGAATATTATTTTGCATTTATGGAAGATTTTATATCTACAGAAGATTTTTAACAGAAGAATGTTACAACGCTCAAAGTGACTGGTGAAAAGGGCAACACAAGATGATAGGCAAAGAATTCAGAGACAAAATACCCAGCTGAGACATTTACTCTTCCCCTTTCTGGTTTAATCAACACAGAATTAACAGTGAGTTTGCCTGGCTCATGTTTATACCATATGTTTCTCTTACCAGAATGCCAAGGATTCCCTGCTTGACTACACTTTTGTCAGGCTCCTGAACCTTCTGCTAGGCCCAATCTGTGCATAGCCTTCTAAAATTCAGTTTTAGCAGAGAATTCTGCTAAGTCAGCTTGACAGGAAAGCTCACCTTAGATGAAGAGTCCGATTGGGATCTTCTTCCTGTACCATCCCTCAGGTGACATCTGATAACCCTTGCTTAGCTTTAAGAAGAATCCTTTTAGTTCAATTTATTCCAAATTCCCCCTCAACCCTAATGTCTTCTCTTACTGATTTCCATTCACTGGCCCCCATCCTACTCCTCAGCTGCAATTTCCATTTGTACATGTTGTATTTGGAGTGGGAGCCAATTTTGTTCCCACTGAAAATTACCATTGTAGTGATTCCTATACCTTCCATGATGGTCTTGAATACAGTTTTTGTTAGTGTGCTTTAACAAGTATCCATTGAATAATGTTTTCTTTAATAACACCTAACATATAATTGGACAATTGATTGTGCATTTTCTGGCTTGTTTTTTAATCATTCAACATTTGTTGACGTCCTCTCAGTTATGATGTAAAAGTCCTAAGGACCACAGATATATCTCCAATTCTCACGGTATCAGTATTTGGGGAGGTTTATATCAATGTCCAGGCCAGGCTCCTGTGCGTCAGGGCCAAGGCATCAGTCCTTTCTAAGAGCTGTCTGATGACTTTTATCTGAAATCAGGATTGGAAACCACTGGTATTCTTGATTTCAAATAAATGGATTTAACTATTTGCCTCTAAATTTTTCTCCAAAGAATGGGCATGGTGGTGTATGCCTGTAAACCCAGGACTTGGGAGGCTGATCTAGGAGGATGTGGGTTCCAGGCCAGCTCGAGCTACGTAGTAAGAATCTGTCTCTAAAAAACGTTAAAAAAGAACTCTGTTGTTTAAGTATGATTTATACATAATATAGAAAATGTGTGTCCATGTCTTTGTGGGATGTGTGTGTTTGTGTATAAGACCCTTGAAAAGTTGTCCTGCAAAGATTTACTGAATTTTGGATGAGCTCCTACCCCAAGATGACTTAGGAGGGACAGGATGGAGAACCTCAGAGCCCCTCTATTCTCCCCGTACTCATGGCATGCTTGCTATCACAGCTCTGACTGTAATGACCAGGTCACTTCACTTTTCCTAACCCTCTTTACTCAGATAACTAAATTTGTCACATTCTTGCTCAGAATAGTAATTTCTTTTTAAAAGTCAACTTTTGTAATTATTATCTTTCAAACTAATTTTTCCCTAGCAGCATTTACATTCTAAATTTTAACATAACAAACTTCCCTACAATATACACTGTCTTCCTTCCTTGCTGTACAAATAAATATATATATATATATACATATATATATATTCTGACTTCATCCTTTTCCTTCAAATAATTTTTTCATTGTCCCCTACATATGCTATTATCAACTCTCTCCCCTCTTTCATTGACTTTTCCGAGTCTCAGTGATCCCATTCATTTATTTAGATCAGAAGTTTTCAACCCATAAAGATCCTCACTGGTCTTCAGGGGACATTTGAAGATGTCTGGATATAGTTTTTATTGTCACAAATGAAGGGAAGGGGGGCTATTGGAATCTAGTGGGTAGAGGCCAGAGACATGACTAAGCTTCCTACAATACACAAGACAGCCCCTCCCCAAAAAAGAATAATCCAGGCCAAACTCAAAAGTGCTGAAGTTGGGAAACCTTGATGGAAATCACATGTCACTCTTTCACGCAGCGAAACACTGCCAGAGTTGAGTGAATCACTAGCAGATGTTTACTGAGCACTTGGGACATGCTGGGGAATAACATATTTGTAAGCTTACAGAGCTTTGCTTTGCTCAAAACCAGAGTTCAGGAGAAGTCAGGAGGGAAAAGAGACTCATGTGACTTCTTTCCAGGTCACATACACTTTAATTCCAGAGAATTTCTTTCTTGACAGCCTGCTCTGTTCTGGAACATGCTACACAAGACTTTGGTCCTGAAAGCCCTTGGCCATGTCATGCATATTTCTTAGGTTTAGATAATTAGAAGCTTTTATTAAATCTTTTTTTTTTAAACTGCCTTGGATACTCCTTTGGGGAAGAACACAGAGTGTCAAAATTGGATGTAAAAACATGATGTTACTGAAGAAAAGTGATTGAGAAATAAAAACAATTAAGCCTTGCACATAAACTCTTTTGGGAGTGGAAGTGACAGTGCTGAAATGTGAGTATGAACTTTTCAGATATTTCAGAAATTAGGTGACAGAGGAAGATGTTGTAACTTGATGTTCATATCCAAGAGAACTAACTACTGGGTTAAGCTTACAAAAACAGCTATGTTAAACAGAGTAATCTTCACTTACTATTTATTCTTTAAAAAGCAAATTAACTTTATTTCTTTTCTTTGAGAAATAAATCCCTTTGTGGATTTGCACACATAACTTAGTTTTAGAGTCAGATTTTCCTGTGTGTTCATAAACTTTCTTTTTTCTTTTGCTGGGGTTGGGGTTGGTGTGAGACACGAACTTGCTATGTAGCTCAGACTGGCCTTGCCATCCTCCTGCTTCTTTCTCCCAAGTTTTAGGATTGTAACCATGTGCCACCATGCCCAACTTCCCTATATCTTTTTCCTCCTTTCAAATAGTAAACATCATTGTTGTTGGGTTTTGGCAGTAGGGGGTTTGAACTCAGGACCTTGTACTTGTTAGGCACAAGTGCTTGAACCATGCCTCCAGTCCTCATTTTATTTTAATGGGAGAGGAATATATTTTACTTTATTTTATTTATTCTATTTTTTGAGATGAGGTCTCCTGATAGAGCCCAGGCTGACCTGGAACTCAAAATACTCCCACCTCAGCCTCCTGAGTGCTGGGATTACTGATATGTGCTACCATGCTTGAGTCTCTGAGACAGGAATATTTTAAATTTGGAGGTTTCATCTTGAACCTTGCTCATCTTGAGATCCTGGACAACAGTGTAATGTGATAGTATAAGCAGAGGCTTCTTGGTAAGTGGATCTGGGTTTGAATCTAGACTTGACCACTTGCAGTTAAGCTACCTTGAAAATTGCTGTGAAGGCTATGCCCACATCTGTACAGTAAATACAGAATATATTAGTCAGGTAGATGTTGCTCCCTGGGCTTGCTAACAGATTTAAATGACATGACAAGGTGGAAAGGGCTGGGAAAATTGTGGGTGCAAAATGATTGGTAGTTCTTCCTCTTAGGTTTCTTCCCTCCTAGGAAATGTTATCTAGTTTCTCTGAATCTTATTTTCTTATGTTCTGCCAGGGGGTAATATTTACCCTCTGTCTTCTGATTACTTCACAAATATTTGTGGAAGATGAAATGTAATCATAAATAAGAAAATTTGAAAGCTAATCATTTTGTCTAAATATTTCATGGAATTCTTCTTAACTTTTCATATTCTACATCAAAATGCCATTTTAAGAAATCATGCCTGCATGTATTATATTTGGTTAACATTTTCAGGAGTTGAAATCTCTAAGAAAGCCTCATTTCTTTCAACAAAAATGGATTATATCATAGAATCACATGTGACTTTCTTGCTTTTGTTTCTTTTTATTTTTTTGAGACACAGTCTTTGGTCTTTTTACGTAGCCCAGGCTGAACTGGAACCCATGATCCTCCTGCTTCAGCCAATCCCAGTGTTGGGATTATAGGCATGAATCACCATGCATGGCCCATATGTGACTTTCTAATTGTTGCTTTGACCAAAGGTTTTAGTTCAGATTTTAGTCCAGATGAATTAAATAGACAAGTATGGACCCAGGGAAGGGATTATATGTATACAGCTCCTCCTTCTCTCTCTCTCCACCCCCCCAATACGGCATAATAACATCTCAGTTACCTTCTAGAATCCCAACATCTTCAACCAATATGGCTAGCAAATGAATATCACTATAACAGAAGTTCTCAGCTAAGAGTGATTTTCATCCCTAGCAATTTCCCATTGTCTGGAGACAGTTTGATTGTCATGACCTGGATTAGGAACCATCTAAATAGATACAAGCCAGAAATATTGCTAAGCATTCTAGAGCTCCCACAATGAACAGTCATCCAGTCCCAAATGTCCACAGCACTGAGGTTTAGAAAGCCTTCTCTACAGTTCACTCTTACCTGAAGTAAGAGTGGGTACTGTGATCTAAAGGTGTCATACATGCCAAAGGCTGTAGTCACACTGGGAAAGTGCCCTTGGAAAAGCCAAACCTATTAATGTACACAGCATTCTCTTCAACAACACTTTGTGACTTAGTTAGTCTTAGCAAACAAACATACACAACACATTGGTTGTGTAAGAAATACTTCTCTCTGGAAAGCAAGTGTCCTCACAGCTTGCCACGGTTTCCTACAACATAGCTGCAGAAACCCTTCACAGCTTTCCTACATTCATTCTAAAGCAAAGCCTACAGCCCTCCATTATCACTGAGCATTGGATTACTATTAAATTAGATGTCACAGCAACAGACACACAGAGCTCCAGCTACATGTTATCAATGGTTACCTGGGAGGACAGTCCTTTTCATAGCACTTCTTCTGTCTCCCATTGGGCTGTGTTTCTGGGTCACAGAATGTAGCTTTCACGATCCCATGGCCCTTCTTCATGCATTGGGCAGTCTGGCGGCGGATACCTGGGATCAGAGAAAAAGATCCACACAAACTGAATTCTGAGCCCATGTGTTCATTGTCAGTGGAAATCCCCCATCATGTCAAATGCACATGTTTATAGATGGTGGGAATGTTGTCTAAAAGTTATTTGCTTTTAAAAGCAGACCTTATGTTACCCGCCTTCATGCTGCTGTGGCAATGGGAGGAAGAGAACTTGTTCAGAAAGAACAGCAGATAATGTAGGTAGATTATACAACCTATTATGTACATTGCAGTCTAGCTGTGAAGACAAATCTAATACATGTGTGTTAAATAGAAAACAAAGTGAGATGTAAAGAAGGAAAGTAGGTGTTCTTACCAAGTGTTACCAGGCAATTGTCAGCTTAATGAAGGAATAGAGGAGGTGAAGAACTTTAGATTAGCTGGGGTTAGTAAACTCTGAAAGGTTGAAATGAAACCCAAAGTAATATTGGAAAGTTTGAGATGTTATGTTTTTAAAAGAACAGAATTTTTTACAGCAGGGATTGATAATTAGATTGTCTTCAGAATCCAGAGAGATAATGTGAAGGCAGCACACAGGAAGCAGCAGGGCCTCTAGGCAAGCAAAGCTTGTCCCAGGCACGGTTCTAAGCTGTGTGTGAGTGTGAGTGTACACCTTGATACATAATGTAATAATGTGTTACCTCATGACAACTCAGTCAGGTCAGCACAATCTTATTGCTATCTGACTGATGAAGAAACTGAGACATAGTGAAGCCACATAGATTGAGAAAGGGAAAGAACCAATGGCTTTGTTACCTGGGCCATCTTTAATAAGAGAACTTGTAGGATATCCAGAAATGTTATAGATTGAGAGGTAAAGGGGCAGTGGGGAGAAAAGTTGGCATCTTTCTTGGAAAGGCTAGTGCTTTGATATTAATTGTGAAATTTTGGGGTAGGAATTAAGACTGAGATCCCTGGAGGACAGAGCAATAAGCTTTCACAAAGACTGTAACCTGAACTCTCAGGATATCCAGCCCTTTTTGCAGTAATATGGATCAAACACATGCAATGGCAAGTCCTCTACCACTGAGCTACTTCCCCAACTCTGACATCCATGTCTTGAAAAGACTTAACAGTACACAGAACTTCAGAAGGCACTGAGCAATCCAGTAAGCTGATCTTGTCCTCACTACTGGCAAGCCCGTGGAAAGACTTTTCAACAACTGCACAACTGCCAGGTCTTGCCTGGAGCCAGCTCCCCTATCACCCATCGCCTCATACTACCTCAGCCAGGCAAACTTGCATACCCAGATGCTAGAGAGGGCATTTGGTCATTTGAATAGTGGTCAGAAGGAGTTTCAAAAACAGTAAATGAGTCTTCTAAAGTAAGTGAACAACATATTTTTTAGAGAAAATTCTTTTTAAGAAGGGACAGGTAAACTTTTACTCCATTAGCCTTTCTCAACTATTGCTGGTGGAATCAAGACTGAATGGTTGTGCCAGGAAAGCTGATGTGTATCTGCCGGTGCAGAGAGGGGAAAAGAAAAGGCTTAGCTCCTTAGGAGTTTAATGGAAGCTTTGGGTAATTTGGCAAATCCTTGACATCAAAATATGAAATGAAGCAAAATATAAAGCTGTCAGGTGACTTGAAGAGGTTGAAAACCTCTCTAATGGACTTGTTTCTGTGCAAAAATAGCAGTGATAAGTGCACTCAGTGTTCCTAACTTCAGAAGTAGCAGAAAGGTACAAAAGCTTATACAAAATTCCTTTCAGAAAGTTTCTAACATTACATGGGCCAACCTGAGACACCAGCAATGAGATGAACATGTGGACTGGTCAGGCAGAAAACTAATAACTGTGTGTCAGCATTTCTTCATTAACAATAATGGTCTTGTTGACTATTACTCTGCTATTCTCTTAACTCTTGAATTCTCAAGTGACTAAACCCAAAAGTTCCAAAGAGAGGGCCCCAACCCAATGGATGGACTTCTCCGATGTTATGGCAGTTCAGTGCCTGTCCAAGGTTTCTTCCTCAATTCTGATGATTCTGTGTTTGTTAAGTAAAATTCAAGCTACAGTTCACTCTTGGTTGATTGTTGGTTAAATAAATGAATAAAGAAAGAAAGAACAGTAAAACCAAATCCAAGGGTCTTGGGCTCTATGCCTTACTTTTACTTCTACATATCACTTGGTGTACTCTGCAGAAAAATGAGAATAGTGATATTCAAATAATTTCAGGGTAGGAAGCTGAGCTAGTTGATTTCTGGAAGTGTCTTCTACATCTTGAGACCTGTAGTTCATGAAAGGAAGGCAAAATTTAAGCATATAACCAACCACATTATAGTTAATATAATTATATGGTTAGACTAGAAAATAGTTTGTTATAATTATTGTTAGAATATTTCAAAATTAGTCAGGAGTGGTGGCTCAAGCTAGTAATCCCAGTACTCAGGAACCTGAGGTGGGAAGATCATGAGCACCATGACCCCGTCTCAAAAAAAAAAAAAAAGAAAAAAGACAAATAATTAAACAAACAAAAACAAAGAATGTTTAAAAATTGTGCTAGTTTATTGCTTTAGTGGATGTGCATATGGAAGATGGCATTTTCCAAAGATGGCTGCAATAACATTTTCCTATTTAACTCTTCTATAATGTGACCTTGACATCTGTCCATCAAGACATGGAGTCTGATTCCACTGGCCCTTGAACTCAATGCACAAGTGAGGCTCTATGAATATAAAGCCTGTACCAGAAAAGTCCAGGCAATACTCTCTAATTCTCTTGTGTATCTAAGTCAGGATACTCTAGCCACCATGGTAAAAGAGAGGCCGTGTGCACTATGATTGAGTTGATAGTCTCAGATTAACCCAGCTCAAGTGCCAGTAATGTAAGTAAAGGAGCCTCCTGATGGTTCCAGTCCCCAGGCATTTGAGTTACCTCTATTGAAGTCATCCCAGCTATATAAGCCTTCCTAGCTGAGGTGACAACCATGGTGGATCTGAGTCATGCTATTCCTAGTGCTCCCTGTCTAAACTTCTGACTCATAGCATCTGTGAATGTGAAAAAGTGATGGTTGTTTTACTGCCCTACATTAAGTGGTTTATCATATAGCAGTAGCACTTCAATTGAGTAGCACTCAATGAATGCAGGCTGTCTTCCTTTCCCTAGTCAAGACCCAGAGCTGCAATCTTGCTTGGCTTGCAATAGGTGATCCAACCTTGATTTTGCTTATTTTTCATCCCCTTCCTTCCTGTGCTACAGTTTGTTTTCTCTCCAGACCTACTATTCCCTTTTCCCTACCATACTTTGAACTTTTAGAAGCTGAGACTTCCAGTTAGGTTTAGGAAATGGAACATCGTCTCTTTGTTTAGTTGCATCTTCTGCTTAATTTTTCCTGGCCAAGAGATTGTACCTGTGTTCTTCCACCCACCATTGTTAATGGGAAGGAACAATTAGTTACCTTTCTTGGTCTCCCTCAACCCTACCCATGCCTGTGAAAGTAGCCAAGGCAGTCAGTTTGTATATGTGCCTATTTCCTGACAGGGTCCCTAAGTGATAATCTCTTTTACTGTGAAAGAAAGAAAGGAAAGAAGGAAGGGATGGAGGGAGGGAGGAAGGAAGGAAGGGAGGGAAAAGAAAGTGAAGAAAGAAAGGAAAAGAAAAACTCTTCATCTTCAGTGACTTACTCATTAGTTAACTCTAAAATCCAATTTCTAAAACAACAACTATTAACATATGCTATTATAATACCTCTCGTGGAGGGCATTAGAATCAGATCATCCTTTTAAGAGTAGATATCATTATATAATACTACAAATGAAGAAAGTGTAAGCAATTAGGCTGAATCTATGAGAACTGGATCTTCCTAGAAATTAAAGACAGAAAAATGACATAGACATTTTTTGTCTTGCTATTTTCCCATTTTTGTGCAAAGTAGACATAGCCCCAACAGAAATTCTAGCTAGTCAATGTTGCCAGTCAATCAACATGTTGCTACAGCACTAAGTTACATGTTTATCTGGAAAAAAAATCACTTGAAAATGTTACTTCTAAAGTAAGAATCAATCACATTAAAAATGTAAGGCTCAAATTCAAAATGCTGTACCAGAAAATTCCGAATCCCTTTCTTTCGGTAGCAATGAGGACATTGGTGTGTGGGTGTAAATACTTGGTAAATTTTGCTGAATATTAGCAGTGAAAGGCCAATTAAGTGTCTTGACTTTTAAGAACTGTCTCCCTGTGCTCTAAAACTGATCGTCTTGAACGAACATTGTGCCTTGACAGAAGGAACCCAAAAAGTTCCTCATGTGAAAAAGAAAAAGAACAAATACTGAAACAATTCATCCTATTTCCAGTTTACTATTGAGATTAGAAAACAGAGGGCATCTGTTACAGTGTTAATTTAGTTCCTAGAAGATTGGATTCAAAAGATAAATTTAGGTAGGGTATAGACTAAGTAACTGAAGACTTAGTCTATTATAATGCTCTATGGCAAAAAAGAATACCAAAACAAAAAAAAATGCAGTGTTTATTTTTCCATCTAAACTTAAGATCAAAGATGATGTGACTAATCACATCACCTGTCAGAGACACAAAGTATTGTATACTCAGACATTAAAATATTAGGTAAGATTTCTTTCTTTATTCTCACTTAGATGACAATAGTACCAGTGCAAGGAAAATTTCACATTGGTACATAAATTATATTTCTCCTAAAACTGGACATAGCAGTGATTTTAATAATGTGAAATGACAACAATTCTTTGAATCAATAGAGAGCTTATCACTAATTCACCTAACCCAAAATACACAGAAATAACATTAACTTCACAGGACAAAAGGAAGAGTGGGAATTGTGTAACTATCTGCGTCCTTATCCTACTAACTTTCAATTTTAGTTCCCACTTAATATTTGCCTTTTTCTTTCAGGCTCCCTCAGCTCCCTTAGTTGTTTTTCTTGCTCATATCTACCCTTCATAATGAAAGCTCAGTCAAGCAGAGCATGGGTCCCATCTCTAGGAGTTCAAATACATTCAGATGC